CCTATTTTATAGGTGAGAAAGCAAAGCACAGCGAAGTCTAATAAGCTTATCGAACCCAACAGATAATTGGAAGAACCCAAAATTTAACCTAGTGTTCTTGCAGGAAACTACACATTAGCATGAACGTATGCATTCTCGCAGTGAGCCAGTGCTTGCTAACTTTTTGGCACCATCTAAGTCTAAGACATTAGTTACTTTCTACTGGCTAGACTGATCCATGTACATGCCATCTTTTCTCTAGTTTTCAGGGGATATGTCAGTAAACTTGGTGGAGGGGAAGAAATTCCTTACTATAATCTACTGCATCTTTGGGAAGATAGAGATTATTGCATATCAGTATTGGAATTGGTCATGAATTAGAATTTGTTTTCCAGTAATTTTAAGGTTTACATGAAAAGGAATTTCATTAGGTTTGACTGTATTAAATTGAAAGTCATCGAATGGTTTCAGAAGCACAGATATAGAAACTGTTACTACTACAGCTTTCTGATTCAGTATCTAAACTGAACATAATAGTTGAGTCGTTTTGTTACTAAGTTTTATTTTACCCAATTTAGAATACAATTCACCTAAATTCCTCTGTCTTTGCCCCATAGCTTGCTCAGTATGAACCACCTCAGGAGGAGAAGCGTGCTGAATAGGATTCTTCTCAGTTGAAAAGACACTGAAAAATGGTTTTGTATGACTTACATAGTTTGTATAGTATATAATCTTTTCTGAACAGATGCTATAGAACTCTTTTAATATGTTAAATTCACCTATTATACTTTAACTGTTAAAAACACATATATTAGAATCACCAATAAAAACTCAATATAACTTTCTTTGGGTCTTACACCAGGAGAATCCAAAGTAAATCCTGAAAACAAAACAAAACCAAACCCACCAAATACAGCCATCTAATCCATTACCTTAAAGACATTCTGTTTATTAATCTGCTGAGGAATGAGGGTGCAGAGGTTAGCATGGGGCTATTAGTTTAATTCAGGATATGAGCACAGCTACAGCCACTCTTTAAAATGAAGATGACACTGTCATTTATATTGCTGTAGGCAGCTAGAGAGATCTGTGAGATTCAAGATGCTTTTGCAGCGGGTTCCCATGAATCTTCTGCTCTTGTTTCTGTAATGAGGAACAAGTAGCTCTTCTTTGCCACCACTTTGCCTTAGAGAACTGTGTGTGCCAGTCTGAACTCTGACACCACATTTTCCTTCTATGCAATCGTGCCCTATCTGATACTGTTGCCTTGCTTTGCTCTGTGCCTCAGTGAGTCCTAGCTGCACACTGGCCTTTCTGTGTGGTGTTTTTCAGTTTGCTTAAGAATAGCAGTTACCCTGATTGTAATTTATATGACTTTAAACAGGACCACACTGTTTTCCTGCCTTACTGCATTGCTTAACTGAGCACAAGAACAGAGGCAATAGGAAATTTGGGGTTTGTGCACAAGCTGGGATGCGATGGGGAACGAGCCATATATTGTGGGAAATTAGAGTTTGTGGGTATAATTACATAGTGCTTTTTTTCCTTAAAATATTTTTTGTAACCTTGAATTCATTTTATCTTCATTATCCCTGTGAAGTAGGTAGGGCAAATATGAGAGGAGACTGGGTGCTGAATTTTTAGACTGATGATGTTAATACAAATTGTGCGCTCACTGTAGAACTTGGGCACATCAATTTAGTGTTCTGAGATACTTCTTCATCTGTTAAATGAGAAGACTGTCTGTGCTGCCTACCTCACAGGGTTGTTGTGAGGATCAAATGAGAATGTATGTGAAAGATCTGTAAATGGTAATGCACTATGTTCTTGCCTGTCAGTCCTTTTGTCCTGAAGACCTGTAGTTAGATATTTGTTTTACTGATCACTTATTTTCCTCATGGATAGACATTTTAAAGAAGCTTTTATTTCATGTATTCGATCCCTGTTGTTAGAGAAACTGTATTTTTTGGTAAAAACACATATAGATAGCAAAATGATCCAAGGAAAGCTGGTTTAACAAACAAGAACCTTGGCGCCTGCTGGGAACTGTGACCAAGCCAATTATAAGGGCATTTTAATCAGTCATGTTGGCAGGAATGTGGCAGTGGTCTGTGTGTCTCTTAGTCACAAGTTTGCTTTTGGAGGGGGGCCAGATGCTACTTGGATAGATTTCTCTTACCAAGTTGAGTGCCTCCTACATGGGCAGCAGTGAGCTCAGTGTTGGGAGTGATAAAGATGAGTGACTGGAAGTTGGTTATGAGATGTGTATATAAACAGTTACAGTGTGGGTTAGGATGTGCTGACAACCATATGAATAATAAAACATGGCCCCAAGAAGGTTTTGGAAGACAGGGAGACTTGGCTTTTTAAGCAGTTAGTATGACAGCCTCTTTGTGGATACAGACAAGTACAAGTTGTTTTCCTGGCAGCCACCCTCATCTGCTTTTTTCTCAGGGGCCTAGCAGTAATATTTGTCAGTAAGTTAGGTGTCTGTTTCTTGTACCATCCTTTTGGACATTGTGGTAAGTGTGGGTTGGATAATCACACTTTCAGGTGGAACGGACCCGCTTAAACTGCTGTGCTAGCCAGTGCTGTTTTACCTTGGGCTCTGGAGTCCTCCTCCATATTTCTATCAGGAATCTGGATGAAGACCGGTATACCAGAAGATGCTCGATAGAACAGAAAATGGATTCTAGCAGATCAGTTCCTGCAATGCTTCTGTGGTTTTATTTATAAAATAGGGATTTTATGTCTTGCCTACCTCACAAGATAGTAGTAAGGATCAGATTGAACATAATGGATGTAAAAGTGCCTTGCAAACTGTAAAGGACTACATATGGACCAGATGGGAGAAACGCCAAATCTGTAAGTGCCACAAAATTGGAAGGGCTCGTTGGTAGATTATATTGAAACAAGCTTTAAAATGACTAACAACCTGAGTACCCAAACTGCTGGAGCTAAACCAAGAAATTGAAATATCAAGTCTTATATTTAGATTAGAAAATGTAGTTATACAAGTTTAGAACTAGGATTGCTGAGAAATTACAAGTCCCAGTGATTATCAGTGTAGACCACTGACACATTATAGATAATTAAGAAAAAAATCTGCCCAGGAAAGCATTACTAGAAATATTGTCCAGGTGCTAAAATAGTCTTCTTGAAGACTGCTTTGGCTAGTGTTGGGTTTGAAGGGTGTCAGGAAGCTCAAATTTAAATAAGGGTGACCAACAGGGAGATGAGATTTGAAAATACAAGGCTGTGCTCTCTACAGGGTAGCCACTAGTTACACATGGTGATTAAAATTAAGTGAAAATGGTGTAAAAAAACTACATCATTTCAAGGGCTAAATCCACATGTGGCTGGTGGCTACCATGTTGAACTGTAGTGATGCAGAATATTTGCATCATTACGTAAAGTTGTATCGACCAATGCTATAGAAGGAATAATTGAAGGAACCTTTGGGATAGAAAAGAGTAAGTGGGTGATGATGATGACTGAAATCTACGAGGGGCTGTCATGAAAAACATGAAGGCGGCTCCTGTATTCATTGTAGTTGGTGTCTAGGAGATTGTGGGCTTTAACAAGAAAACATCACGCTGGGAAAGGCAGCCTGATGAGATAGCCCGCCTCCTTTGGATCTGTACAGCCTTCCCTATCCACGGATTCAACAAACCATCGTTTGAAAATTGTATTAGGTATTATAAATAGTTTAGAGATGATATAAAGTATATGGAAGGTGTGTATAGGCTACACGCGAATAGTACACCATTTTACACAAGGAACTGGAGTGTGTGCAGCTTTTGGTGTCCTGGGGGGTCCAGTTCCCATGAATACCACGGGAGGACCATCATCGGTGCCTTCTGCAGTGTAGCTGAGAGGCTGGGCTGCCTTTACCTCCTAGGATTGGACTTCCCCAAAGTTGCAGACCTTGCATGGGTGTGCTTGCCTTTCCAAGTCTACCAGTTTAGGATGCCACCGCCCCCTGCCCTTTAAATGTATCAGGGCTATGCTTTTAAGAGGAGCCTCTCGTTAAGGTTGCGGTTCTAGAGCCTGATGGTTGAAAGCGAACATTCCTACAGCGTTCTCAGACACAGCTGGTGGTAAGCATTTGCTCTGCTCTCGTCACTCCCTTGGTCACCAATCTGATGGGGGTCACAGAGACACAGTGTCCCGAGAGGGGACGGACTTCCCTGGAGAAGTGCACTCTGACTAGGTGGAAAGGAGGGATACGGAGTCCCGTCGAGTTACAAGTGGCAGCAGTACCCACTATGAAGCCATTTGCTGAAGGGGGAAGCTGTTTTTCCTTTGGTCGCGCTGGCTTCGCTTTGCTAGAACAGGCCACCACACAGACGCCTGCCTGCCTGCCTGCCTGCCTGCCTGGACTGAGGCTTCGCCCTCAGGCTTGGCTCCTCCTCCATACCTCACGTCCACCCGCTAGAGCTGCCCCGACGCCACCCCCTAACAGACGTCCTCGTCCTCCCAACTCCGAGATTTTCACCTGTGCCCATCGCTGCCCTACGACGGCTCGCGGCTACTCACGGGAGGTCCGCGCGCTCTGTCATCTCCCGGCAACTTGAGGACAGGCAGGGTGCGAGTCGGTTCCAGTTTTGTGCCCCTTAGTAGGTTCCCAGGACATCGCGGGCATCCATAAACACTGGTCGGGCGAGCGCCACCGTAGGACGGCAATCGATTCTCCACCCTTAGGTGCACAGACAGCATCTCCCCCGTCGGTGCTCTCGCAGCCAGGCAGAAGGCAGGGGAGCAGCGAGGACCCCGACGCGCGCGGGCTCCGGGCTGGGGCGGAGGGCAGAGGCCCTGGGAGCCCGGCGAGAGGCGCGGCCGGGCCGCCCTCCTCGTGACTCCTCCTCCCCCCTCGGCCGCTGCGAGTCAGGTGATTCCGGGCACGTGACAGGCACCGCAGACCCTGCTGCTCCCGAGTGGCAGCTTGGGCGACCAATGAGGGGCCTGACCCCAGCTCAGGGCCTATGAGAGCCGGGCTCGGGGGCGGGCCGGACGGTGGTGGCTGCCGGGGGCGGTGGCGGCGGCGGCGGCGACGGCGGCAGCGGAGTGGGGAGGCGTCGGCCTGGCTCGGCCTGGCCTGGCCTGTCAGGGCGCGGGCGGCGGCGGCGGCTCCGGCTCCGGGTCCGGCACGATGTCCCTGCAGTACGGGGCTGAGGAGGCTCCCCTGGCCGGCAGTTATGGCGCGGCCGACTCGTTCCCGAAGGACTTCGGCTACGGCGTGGAGGAGGAGGAAGAGGAGGCGGCGGCGGCTGGCGGCGGGGTCGGGGCGGGGGCCGGCGGAGGCTGCGGCCCGGGGGGCGCTGACAGCTCCAAGCCGAGGATTCTGCTCATGGGGCTGCGGCGCAGCGGCAAGTCCTCCATCCAGAAGGTGAGTGGGGTCGCGCCGGCCCTGCCTGCTGCCCGGTGCGCAGGTGCTGTCCGCCGGGAGGCCGGGGAGGGCGGCGGCCAGCCCGGCGCCCCGGCCCGCCGCACTTTCTCTTCTCCTCGTGCGAGTCTGGGGCGCGGCGTGCGTCGGGACCCCGACCTCGGCACCCGAGAGGCCGCGGGGAGGCAGGCGCTTGGCGGTGCCGCCCGAGACCTCCGCCCCCTGGGACCCGGCCCCTGTCATTGACGAAACCGAGACGAGCCTTCCAGTGCTCCCTTGGAGAACTTGACGGGCGTCTGCCCCTGCTCGGTGTCGGTTCGTTCCCCTCTCTGGCCGAGCCGCGGCGGGGGGTTGTGAGCGACCCCGCGCCTACTCTTGGTCCCAGTGGCGTCGCCGGGAGTCGGGTTCTGCCGCCGCTGCACCTGTTCGCTGCTTAGGTCCCGGTGAGGGTTGTGACGGGCGGTCGCCCCCCGCGGGCAGGTGGTCAACCAGAATCTTCTAAGACTTGGGGGAGGTTTTGCAGAGCGACCTCAGCCCGTTTGTCCACGCTTGGGGTCTGTGGGAAGGAACGCAGGGCTGCACGCCTTTTAGGGAGAGGGAGAGACAAGGGGCCTTCGGAAAGGCCACGGAACTGCGTACTAGGAAAGAAACTGCACGGATTTCAGAGCATCTTCCCCAACAGAAGACGTTCCATTCCATTTCCCGTGAACTTTCTCAAGTACGGTGGCCCGGGGGACGGTTCCCCGGAGGGAGCCGGGCCCGCCGCCCCTTCCCCTCTGCTGCACACGCCACGTTCTCACGAAGTAACTTTCCCAATTTGCAGGAATACCGTGTGATACCTTGATTTTCACCTGCACAGTTAAGAGTGGGTTTTTTAGCAAGCTGATTTTAATTCTCATTTTCTAGTGGTGAAACCATGGAACTATCTGTCCGCTTTTCTCTTACAGAAAGTAACTCAGGTTAGTTTGATGTGAGAACCTGTGGATTGAGATCTTTGTGATTTGTAACAATTGCCTTTGTCAGCCCCCCACCCCCATGGAGCTGCTTTTCCCCTGTCATCTCCTAGCTCTCGCTCCCTGGACATTTTCACATTCTTCTTGGTATAGTTGCTGCCCTTATTTTATTTTTCCTACAAGGTTATAATCTCAGGGCAAGACTGTCCATTTCATTTTTTATTATTTCTCAGAGCCTGAGGTAGACTTTCAAGTAATTAAACAAATGTTTGTTTATTTTCATGTGCTTCAAAGTCAGAGCAAGAGATGTAGATATGTTCCGGGTTCATTCCCCAGATGGCCGCAACAGCTGGAACAGGCCAGTTCAAAGCCGGAGCTGGGAGCTCCAGCCCGGTCTCTCCTGTGGGTGACAGGAGCCCAAGCACTGGAGGTGTCACCTGCTGCCCCGAGAATGCATTAGCAGGATGCTAGATTGGAAGCAGAGTAGCTGGGACTCAAACCGGCACTTTGATGCGGGAGGCAGGCAAGCTCCGGCTTAAACTGTGCTGCAGCTCCCTCCCCTCAAGTAAGTGGAGTGACAAAACTTCTTAAATTTCAGCCATAAAGCTTTCATAACTTTTAAAAAGAGATTTATTTATTTGAAAGGCAGAGTAGTGGGGGGGTGGATGGGGTGAAGTGATTTGGGGTTCACTCCCCAAACTCCTACAACAACAGGGGCTGAGCCAGGCTGAAATCAGGAGCCAGAACTCCATCGGAGTGTTCTCTGTGGGTGGCAGGGACATAAGCACTTGGGCCATTATCCACCACCTCCCAGGCACATTAGTAGGAAACTGAATTGCAAGTAGAGTAACCCAGACTTGAACCAGGTGCTCGGATATGGGTGTCCAAGCAGTAGCTAAATTCACTGTGCCACAACACCCACCCCATCTTTCATAATCTTAAAGCAGATTTTGGCAGAATTAATACGTTGTAATCTTGTTCTTTCCCCGAAAACCAGTGGTGGTGAGAGTTGATGCTACTACTAGTACTGAATATCGATGCACAAAAATGAGCAAAAACAAAAATTCAACTCCAAAATAGATTTAATGGAAATTAATTTGAGGCCCTCTTTTGTCATAATACAATGATAGTAAATACCAGTGAATTTAGATTTTTTTAAACTTTCCCTTTTTTTTTTTTTTGCTACAGGACCAAATTTTCTTGTGTTAATCCAGGGTGGAATTTTGAATGCAAGTTGTACAGTTTAATAGTCATAAAACTTTCTTGTTTCTTTTGACAGGTGGTGTTTCATAAGATGTCACCCAATGAGACCCTCTTCCTGGAAAGTACCAACAAGATTTACAAAGATGACATTTCCAATAGCTCCTTTGTGAATTTCCAGATATGGGATTTTCCTGGGCAAATGGACTTTTTTGACCCAACCTTTGACTATGAGATGATCTTCAGGGGAACAGGAGCATTGATCTATGTCATTGACGCACAGGTAGTTAGGAATGATGATGCTTACGTCTCTCCCTAGGGCACAAAGATGTGGCAGCAGAGGAAGGTTCTTTGTTTTGTCGTGTGCTTGCAGCGTATTTCATCATCAGTGGATTCTGTAACAGCGTGAGAGGTGTTACAGAGGTGGTTTGGGAGTGGGCAGTGTTATGGAGCACAGAGTACCAGATGATTACAAGATGCGTTTTACACCCTCGAGTCTTAGTTAATGAGTAGTTAACATTGATTCTCCACTTTTATTGGTTACTCATAGATATTGCTGTACCTCATTAATTATTACGCTAGTGATGTCACTCACTGGAAAGATCCCATTAGTGCTCAAAATGTAAGGAGGAATAAGCAAACTGAGTCAGGAGATACTTGAGTGAATCGTGTCCTTAACTTCCAAGTTAGATTTAGTCCAAGAAATATTTATTTGTGGCGGGGGTCAGATGAATTGGCTGTGTCCCTGTCCCTGAGGAAGCTTACTTTTTATAAGCTTAAACTTACGCGTGCTCTGAGTGACAGTCCCCATCACATGTGCTCTCACATACATGATGCAACTTAATTCAGTTGTCACGGTATTGTGAGGTCCATTCTGCAATTGCAGTTTGACAGAGGAGTGAGCTGGGATCACAGAGTTCAATGACTTGCTTACAGCCACGCAGCTAATACATGGCAGAGCTGGGATTACTTCAGAACAATTCTGTTGGGAAGAAATGGCCTTTTCCTTTTTAATTTCTTTATATTGTCAGTTTTAAAAATTATAAGCATTAACTTGGTAGCTGAATTTTTTAACAACGTGAAGGGATATTTGTTAGTGTAAGTCAGTGTATTTGAACGTTTGAATGCTTGTGAGTAATTAGAATCATCCGTATTTTGTGGTTGGGGAGCGAAGTGGTTTGAGGCTTTCTTAACTCATTATTTGACTTTTGTAAGATTTTAAAAAATATTTTGTTCTGACTTACAGGATGACTACATGGAGGCTTTAACAAGACTTCACATTACTGTTTCTAAAGCCTACAAAGTTAACCCAGACATGAATTTTGAGGTTTTTATTCACAAAGTTGATGGTCTGTCTGATGATCACAAAATAGAAACACAGAGGGACATTCATCAAAGGGCCAATGATGACCTTGCAGATGCTGGGCTAGAAAAACTCCATCTTAGGTAACAACGTGTGTGTCTGCTGTGAGAGCCCTGAGAGCCGTGTAAATGTATTCCCATCTCTGTCATCACGAACACTGTTGCTTTCTGCTGCCACTCAGCCCTTGCCCTTTGGGAATGTTGTGGGAGCCTGGTGTTCCTGAGAAGTTACTTTCCCACCTCCTTTGCTCTTTGCTGGTGACTGAAGTCACGTGAAGTGTCTTCAGTGGCGCTTTTGCCAGTGCATCTTGGGACTGGAGTCAGCCCTCTGCTCAGGACATTATTCTGCTTTGGGGCTCCCTTGCTGCTTTGATCATCTCAGTGCGAGGAGGAATCTGTCACTTGTGTTGGAGACGTCTTTAGCTTGAGCTCTCAGTAGGACAAGCCTCTTGCAGGGAGTCCACTTTCAAGTTTGCACTGACTCTATCAGTTTTTAAAGCTTGATATTATGAGATTGTAACGGTTGTATTAGGGAGGGGGATTACTTGTAAGTTTGCATAGAGCTGCTGTTCAGTTGAAGGATTGCTGTTTTATAATTAAATATCACTAAGAAGTTATTACTATAGAACACCTCCTAGATAGGATCGATCATCTCTGTGTTTTGGCGCTGAGAGTGCGTGATGAATATTTCCATGCATGTTACTTTTTTTGATGATATAGGCCGAAATGAAAATGGAGGAGTACTCAAGAAAAAATGTTCTGTTGATAAAGTGAAGAGCTTAAGGGAAGAGCAGGGAGAGGGACAAGTGTGGTTTCCTTACCCCTGTTCCCTCGTAGTGACTTCCCCATGGGCCCAAGCTGGTATTTCCAGCCTCCAGTATTGTTCAGTTATTATTCCAGGAAGCCATGTAGAAATACTTCAGTGACCTGTGGATTGCCTGGATTATATTTTTAAAAATTACAAGTAATCCACATTTAAAAAAGCAGAATGTAAGCACTGTGTGTAAGAGAAGGTGAAGGTGCTGCCCTGGAACATGTCTGAATCTTACTTCTTGGATGTTCACTGTTAACTTTCACCTGGATTTGAAGCCATGCTTGTCTTGTGTCCCCCAGTGCCCGTGGCTCATCTGCTTCTCTTTACTCCATGTCTGTGACCCTTTCCGAGGCATCCCACCCGTATGCTAGGCACCATCCCTTTCCCCATGTAACCTCAGTCGAATTTTGTAGCAAGCCTTATTTAGTACTAGCAGGCCTGTGGCTGAAGCTGTATTTGATCTGCAGTTTCTGGAAACTCAGCTTATGAAAGTGCCCTGTGCTGTGCAGGTTCTCTTTCTCCCTGTCCACCTCCAAGCCTCACAAGCCCTGCAGGACCTTCTCCGCCTGCTAACCCTCTTGCCTAAAGGAAACACTAACATGCTCCTTTCGCCCTAGTGCCTGCAGGGTCTCCTGGCCTTGGCTGCTTCAGTGATCTTCTGTGCAGAGGGTAGCCTCTTCCTGCACAGGGTTAGGTTCTTAGGTCGGCTCTGGAAAGTACCTTTAGGTCACCTGTGAAGTCATACACACGGTCCTGTGTCTCTGACTGTAAAGTGTACATAGATGTGTCATGAACGCAGCTGTATGATGAAGAGTACACTCCCTGGGTGCAAAAGCAAGTAGAACTGCCCCCATGCTGAAATTGCTGAAGGTCTGTCCCTGTCCGGGAAGTGTTCTGTTAGATACGCATGTAATTCCCTGCTGTGCGTGCCCGCAGGCCTACAGACTCCTGCTGTTCTCCGTGGAGCCCTGCCTCCCATCCTCCTGAGTGTGCTGTCCGCATGCATTCTGAGCAGCAATTTTATGTGCTTATTCGACAAATACAAACTCCGTGTAGGGCAGTCAGCTGGCAGCCATGAGCAAGACAGGGTGTCTTCGTGGAGCCTAGGCTCTGAGGAGTGACACCGCTCCGAAGCCCCACAGAGCAGTGTCTAGTGGAGCCTTAAGTGCCGTGCTGTGCGTGAGAGCACGTGGGGGAGAGGAGCAGGAAGCGCTGGGCCGGGCTACCGTTTTAGGCAGGGTGGTCAGGGAAGGACTTTTCCAGGAGGTGACACTTTAGCAGAAAGCTGAATTGTGCTCTTCATACATGTATCTTTTCTTGCTTTCTCTTGGGTTTGAAGCTTGGGTTTTGTCTCCGTTATATTCTGAAGAAATGAAGCTTTTTGGGGTCAGGCTCTAAAGACCTGGATGGCTGTTTAGTTTCTGTATCTGCAAACGCATTCTCGGGCACCACCTCAGTTGCATGCCATCCGTGCAGACTCAGTGAAGGGACTGGTAGTCACAGAGCAGGTGGGAGACTGCATTTCTGAACAAGATAGTTCAACTTAAATGATTTAAAATTTCTACATGTCAAATAAAAATACTTGTATATTAAAGAAGAAGAAAAAAGAGACAAAATTGTACATATTATGACAGTTGTCACTGGATTTAAGGTATTTGTCATTAATTAAACTGTGTTGTGTTTTTCAGCTTTTATTTGACTAGTATCTATGACCATTCAATATTTGAAGCCTTTAGTAAGGTGGTGCAGAAACTCATTCCACAACTGCCGACCTTGGAAAACCTATTAAATATCTTTATATCAGTAAGTGAGCTACTTAGTTTGCTATAGTTTCTGATTACATTTTTGTTAAATATATGTATGTCTTCACATTCTCTAAAAATGGGGCATGATTCAGTCCGAATCAAGCTTAAAGGCTAGTGACACACTTCACACGTAAAATAAAAAGTAAGATCATGAAATAATGGCTTGAGTTGTTGTTTTTTGAATTCTTTTTTTTTTTTTTTTTGATAGGGTTAGAGAGAAAAGTCTTCCTTCCATTGGTTCACCTCCCAAATGGTCACTACAGCTGGCGCGCTGTGCCGATCCAAAGCCAGGAGCCAGGTGCTTCTCCTGGTCTCCCATGGGGTGCAGGGCTCAAGCACTTGGGCCATCCTCCACTGCACTCCCGGGCCACAGCAGAGAGCTGGCCTGGAAGAGGAGCAACTGGGACAGAATCCGGCACCCCAACCGGGACTAGAACCCAGGGTACTGGCCCTGCAAGTGGAGGATTAGCCAAGTGAGCCGTGGTGCTGGCCATGTTTTGAATTCTTAGTATTTAGTCTTTAAAATGAGCTGATGAAAAATCTTCCTCTTTTTTTTATGATTTGTTTTATTTGAAAGGCAGAGTTACAGAAAGAGAGAGATAATTGATCTTCCGTCTACTGCTTCACTCCTCAAATGGCTGCAGCAGCTGGGTCTGGGCCAGGCTAAAACCAGGAGCTTCCTCTGCGTCTCCCATGTGGGTGCAGGGAACCAAGCACCTGGCAGGCTGGTGCTGCCTTCCCAGGTGCATTAGCAGGGAACTGGATAAGAAATGGAGCAGCTGGGACTTGACCTGGCGCTTAGATGGGATGCTCGCTTCCCAGGCTGTGGTTTAGGCGCTAGGCCACACAAGGGTCCTCCTCGTGTTTGCTTAATTGAAAATGCCTTCATGATGTCTGTTGCCTGAAGAAAGAGTAGCAACTGGAAAAAGCTGGATTTTGGGTTTTATTTTCATCTCTACCTTATTGGAGGTTACGTTGAGAAACTGATCTTTTCCTTTTGCTGACTGTAATGTTGGTATTTTTTGCATTCTTATTTTGGGGAGTCAGCTTAATAAAAAAAGGAAAGCTCCCCAGTAAGTTTATAATTTAGCTATTATATTTCCAAACATTACTTATTTAAAAAAGCCATTTATTTATTTGAAAGGCAGGGAAATGAATTCTCCCATCTTCCGGTTCACCTTCTAAGGGCCCACAGTGGCTAGAGTACTGAAGCCAGCCGTGTTTGAAACTAGGAGCTGGGAGCTCAATCCAGGTCTGCAATGTGGGTGGTGGGAACACAGTTTTGTGGCCATTCACTGCTGCCTATCTGGATCTGCATTAGCAAGAAACTGGAGCCAGGAGTCGGCAGCCAGGCACCCCACTATGGGATGCTGGCATTGCCACCAGCTTAACTGCAGGCCAAGTGCCTCCCCTCCAAACATTGTTTTGAAAGGGCTCCGTCATGTGATTCCCACTTTGATTCTTCAGGGTCTTTGGGTTACACTTGATGTTGACATCAAATTGTAATTCTCTTATCTTTTGCTAATTGGCACGTAAAGTATTTTTCCTGATTACAAGGTCATTCACATCTGAAACCTATTATAATGAGAAAAGATTATTGAAAATGTAGCATAGCTTGATTTTTCGAGAATGTTTTTGTCAAATGTTTGGTTGGTCATTGAAAGAAAAACTGTTGATGTGTGCAATTATGTCATTTGGCAGAGAAGTAATTCCACTTTTATTCTTTAGATAATAGAATTTAGATAACATAAGTGTCTCAAGTACTATTTGTTTTTTAATTCTGGATTGTATAATTAAAAATGATCTTGGCTGTTATTTAAAAATTCAAGATCTTTGATAACTAGCACATTGTGATTCTTAAAAAAATACTGAATACTTTCCCAATTTTGTTTTTCCAAGAATTCAGGTATTGAAAAAGCTTTTCTCTTTGACGTTGTCAGCAAAATCTACATTGCAACAGACAGTTCCCCTGTGGATATGCAGTCTTATGAACTTTGCTGTGACATGATTGATGTAGTAATCGATGTGTCTTGTATATATGGGTAAGTTACATACATGTTCCTGCAGCCTCTCAGGTGGCAAACAACTAGCTGTTTGAAAAGGGTCTAACTTCCGAGACTTCTGGCAGGGACCCTCGGGCATGGGCCGCTCGCTCTCATCCCGGTGCTTCAGGTTGCAGAATGGTTTCTGTTCAGGTGGGCTGTGGGGTCTCCTCGGAGAGCAGTCTTAGAAAGCAGACTCAGGCTGGCTTTCTCCCGCCACTGTCTGGGGTTTTGTCCTGTGCCTTCTCGCTGCTGGGACTTAACTAGATCGAAAAGCGATTATTTACAGTGATTTCAGTAAACAAGTGAGTGTTGGTTCCTGATTTAACCTGAGGCCTTGTGAAATGAAAGATTCTTACTCTTTCAGAGAGCAAAGAGTCATAATAATGGAATTGTGGATGTTAGAAGGACTTACAAATAAATATCTGACCTCTACAACTGGATTTCCATAATCAATACTAAAATATAAGCTCTGCCTTCATGTAAATGTGCTGAACTCTGCACAGAAATTTACAAAAGCCAGTGAAGAAGTGATTTCTGGGCCAGGACAGGGATGATGCTTTGGAGAATTACTGGCGTTTCAGCAGCCACTCCCAGTTTTTGTTCCCTGTCATAGCTGATTGATTGCTCTGGGGATGTTCACGTCAGAATTCCGCAAGTGCTTTCCGATGCTCTTTGCTTTCTAATACCTGCCTCCACCTTTTGACCCAGCTCTTTGCTCCCTTAGTTTGAACTGCTTTGTCTCGGATCCTGCCCTTCACCTTGGCCTCCCTGCCACGTCTGTCAGTGTCTTTCTCCAGCTGCCTCTTACTAGCAGAGTGCGTTTGTCCTGCCTGCTCTTGTTACTTTAGTGATGACATGCTCTCCTTTGTTTCTGATCTCTTCATAATGAAAATGAAGTGTCTTGTTTGCTTACTCTATTATTCAGTAAAGTTTCATGCTCCCCATTCTTAATTTTGAAAATGACTAGACCATCCACATTTTCTTTAATATTAACAGATCAAAACTGTAATGAACTGATTTTTTTATAATTTAATAATCAATTTGGTTGTAAAAATTTTTTCAGTATAAGATATGTTATGAAACACATACATTAGGGCCGGCGCCGCGGCTCACTAGGCTAATCCTCCGGCTTGCGGCGCCGGCACACCGGGTTCTAGTCCCAGTCGGGGCGCCGGATTCTGTCCCGGTTGCCCCTCTTCCAGGCCAGCTCTCTGCTGTGGCCAGGGAGTGCAGTGGAGGATGGCCCAAGTGCTTGGGCCCTGCACCCCATGGGAGACCAGGGTAAGTACCTGGCTCCTGCCATCGGATCAGCGCGGTGCGCTGGCCGCAGCACGCCGACCGCGACAGCCATTGGAGGGTGAACCAACGGCAAAAGGAAGACCTTTCTCTCTGTCTCTCTCTCTCACTGTCCACTCTGCCTGTCAAAAAAAAAAAAAAAAAAAAAACCACATACATTGGGTCTGGCTTTGTGGCACGGGGGGTTAACCTGCTACCTGTGATGCTGGCATCAAGTTCTAGCCTCTCCATTTCCAGTCTAGCTCCCTACTCATGCGTCTGGGAAAGCAGTAGAAGCTGGCCCAAATGCTAGGGCCCCTGCCACTCATTTGGGAGACCCTGATGGAATTCTAGGCTCCTGCCTTTGGCCTGGCCCAGCACTAGCCGTTTCAGCCATTTAGGGAGTGAACCAGCTGATGGAAGATCTATCTATCTCTGCGTCTCTCTCTCTCTATCTTTCTCTGTCTCTGTAACTGCCTCTCTTTCTTTCTTTTTAAAAAGATTGATTTGAAAGAGTTACACAGAGAGTGGAAGAGACAGACAGACAGATCTTTCATCTGCTGTTACACTGCCCAGATGACCGCAATGGCTGATGGAGGGCTGGGCCAAAGCCAGGAGCCAGGAGCTCCATCAGAGTCCCCTATTTAGGTAACAGGGTCCCAAACACTTGGGCCATCTGCTGCTGCTTTCCCAGGGACAGAATCCGGCACCCCAACTGGGACTAGAACTCGGTGTGCTGGCGCCACAAGGCGGAGGATTAGCCTAGTGAGCCGCGGCGCCGGCCAACTCTGGTTCTTTTTGGTTAAGACTGCCGTACTTCTGCCTTAGCATATTTTGATTCAGATTCAGATAGCCATATTTTTCTAATAGTCTTAACTATCAGGGCTGGAGTTTTGGCTTAGTAGGTAGAATCGCTGCTTGTAATGCCAACATTCCATATGGGTGCCGGTTTGAGTGCTGGCTGCACCACTTCATTTTTTTTTTTTAACGATTTATTTATTTATTTGAAAGGCAGAGTTACACAGAGAGATGGAGAGACAAAGAGAGAGAGAGGGCTTCCATCCACTGGTTCACTCCCCAACTGGCCGCAATGGCTGGAGCCGCACTGATCCAAAGCAAGGAGCTTCTTCTAGGTCTCCTGTGTGGGTGCAGGGGCCCAAGGACTTGGGCCATCTTCTATTGCTTTCCCAGGCCACAGCAGAGAGCTGGATCGGAAGTGGAGGAGCTGGGTCTTGAACCGACGCCCATTTGGGATGCCAGCACTGCAGGCGGTGGCTTTACCTGCTTTGCCACAGTGCTGGCCCCTGTACCACTTCTGATCCAGCTCCCTGCCAATGTGCCTGGGAAAGCAGTGGAAGATGGCTCAAGTGTTTGGGCTCCTGCACCCACATGGGAGACCTGGATAAAGCTCCTGGCTCCTGGCTTTGGCCTAGCCGTGGCTGTTGCAACTATCTGGAGAGTAAATCAGTGGATGAAAGATCTCCCTCTTTAACTCTGATCTTCAAATAAATAAATGAATCTTTAAAAAAGTTTTTGTGGAAAAAATAAATTGTAAGTTTGGTGCAAAATTTTGAGATTTGTAGTTTTATCATATGTGTTTTCCATTAATTTAAAAAAACTTTGCCTTAAAAAATTTTAATTTATTAAAATTTATTTGAGAGCATGAGCTTTTGTCTGCTGGTTTGTTCCCCAAAATCCTGGAACGACTGGGGCTGGGCCAAGGCTGAAGCTAAGGGCAGGAATTCAGCCTTTGTCTCCCATGTGCAGGTGGCAGGAACCCCCCAGCACTCTGAGCCAGCACTCTGCCTTGCAGGGTCTGCATTGTCAGAAGCTGGAACCAGGAGTTGAACCTGGGACTGAAGTGCAGGTTGTCTTAACTGCTAGCATAAATATCTCCCTTTCTTCACCTTGTTTGGGAAGGCAAGTACTTTTTTTTTAAATTCGAAAAGCAGAGTTCTAGAGAAAGGGAGAATCAGAGAAATCTTCCATCCACTGATTCACTTGCCAGATGGCCACAATGGATGGGGCTGGGCCCAGGCCAAAGCCAGGAGCTTCATCTGGGTCTCCCATGTGGGTACAGGGGCCCAAGTTCTTGGGCCAACTTCTGCTGCTTTCCCAGGCACATTAGCAAGGAGCTGAATCAAATGTGGAGCAGCCAGGCCTCAAACGAGTGCCCAGATGGGATGCCAGTGTCAGAAGCAGCAGCTTAACCTGCTTTGCCACAGTGCTGGCCCCCAAATACTTTTTGTGAAAAGATAATTCTGACAATTCTTAATCCTTAGCAAGAATTAGACAACCCTGGGGCCAGTGTTGTTGTGGCATAGCAGGTTAAGCCGCCGCCTGCAATGCCAGTTCATGTTCTGGCTGCTCCACCTCTGATCCAGCTCCCTGCTAATGGCCTGGGAAAAGCAGCGGAGGATGGGCCCCTGCTGCTCATGTAGGAGACCCACATGAAGCTCCTGGCTGATAGCTTTTCCAGCTTCTGCCTGGCTCAGCCCTGACCACTGTGGTCATTTGGGGGGTGAACCAGCAGATGGAAGTTCTCTCTCTCCTCCTGTCTCTGTAACTCTTTAAAATAATTGATTTTTTTTTTTTTTAAAGAACTAGACAACCCTTAGACTTTTATTAAGCAAGCACATCAGGATGGATGTCAGAACACAGACCTTGTTATCAGTTGATTTCAACAGTTGCCACAGGTCTCTGGCTCTGACTGTTCTTGTGTGTTTTTTGTAATGAATAAAATGAATGTTTTTTTTTAGAAACTGTATGATTGTCCTGCCATACAGCATACACCTTGAAGGATATATTATTTGGTGGTAGCAGTGCTACAGAGGCCCTGTGATCTGAGGGAGGTAGAGAGAGAAGGAGGCACCTTAGCCGGGGCTTAGGGTGCAGGCAAGCCAAGGCGGTGGGTTGCCCCATCTGGCAAGATGTTGCTGTGTTGTCATTTCCCTGGTTAAAATCTACACGTGTCTCCCCTGTTTTCTCCAAATGCCCGATTACCTGTGACAGTAAAGGATACGTGAGGAACTTGCTGCTCTGAGAGGAATCCCTGAGAGTCTGTGTTTGGGGGCTGTGTGCCTGTGTGGCAGCCCTGTTCTGATAGATGAAGCCAGTATTAGTATTTCTCAAGAGACACTCAGGAACCTGGGTGGCAAGGGTTGTCATTGTGCAAATCACATGTGACCGAACGCTTGGGAAACCTGTAATGAGCAGCACTTTCTTTTAAAACAGGTTAAAGGAAGATGGCAGTGGAAGTGCTTATGACAAAGAGTCCATGGCAATCATCAAGCTGAACAACACGACCGTCCTCTATTTAAAGGAGGTGACGAAATTTTTGGCACTGGTCTGCATTCTTAGGGAAGAAAGCTTTGAACGAAAAGGTAATGGCATTTTAAAGAGCTTTTTTATGTTAAGTTCTTGGTCTCAATTTTTTGAGCTCTTGAAAACAAGAGAAAGTAATATTGCAGGGTAGACAGATGGTTGTCTTGGAGAAAGAAAATCATCTCAAACTACTTTTGTCCCTCCCCTCCACGGAGTCCAGACTCTCCTTCCTCCTTTGCTCTTTTGTCTTGGCCAGTTTCCTACTCTGGCCTCTCTTGCTTTGCACTGCCTGCCTGCAGTGAGCTCCCCATCTCCTGAAAGCCTCCTTGGGAGGCTCCCTGCTGCCTTCTTGCTGCATCCTGTGGCCTTTTCTCGTTCTGCAGCCTCTCCAGTCTCTGCAGCCTGGGACCCTGTTGTTCCCTCCTCTCCCAAAACTTGCTTCCCTTTTTGTCTTCCTGGGACTTCCTCGCTGGGTTGCTTTGTGAGTCTGATTCTCTGAACACTCTTCTCAGGCCTGAGTGTGCTTCAGAGCCAAGTGTTCTGTCTCCTTCGTTGCTGTCCAGGTCAGCCCCTCCAGCCCCTGGCTTCCATGAATCTTCCAGGTGTGGTTGATGGAAAAGTTCACATCTCCAGCTCTGACTTGGGCTTCTGTTCCAGCTCGTGTTTGGAGCTATAACTGTCAGACGTCTTCACTTACAGTCTTGAGCACTTAGCTGTTGTGTCCATCCTTGATTGACGGTGATTTTCCTGTGTTTCGTGACTCTGGACCACCCCACTCCCGGGGCCAAGCTTAGCTCCCTTGCAGTCAGGTAACTGCGCGACTCCTGAAGAGGCCCTCACAGAGCTGCTCACGGAGGCGATCTCGTGTTTCCCTCACTCGCTCTTCTGTGCACATACAGGGATTTTCACCAAGGCTCATTTGTTTCTTGGAACTATTTCTCGGGTTTCCTTTCTGTTTCCGCTGTCAGTGAGTCTAGTCCAGCTCTTCTAGGCCCGTGGTGCTGCAGTGACCGCCTACTTGATAATATTCATGTGTTTGACAAACATACTGAGGATCTAGTGTTTGTTGTCTTTTATCCCAAAGGCAGACTAGTTTTCAGAGAATTTATTTTGTTAATTCCTCAGAGATCTGTAGTAGTTGTGTGTGTGTGGTTTTTTTTTTTTTTTTTTTTTTTTAGATTTATTTATTTGAATGAGTCAGAAAAGGAAACAGATAGAGATTGATCTTCCATCCTCTGGTTTACTCCCTAAATGGTCTTAATGACTGGAGCTGGGCAAAGCTGAAGCCAGGTGTCAGGAGCTTCTTCTGGGTCTCCCAAGTGGGTTCAGGGGCCCAGGGACTTGGGCCATCTTCTGCTGCCTTCCCAGGAGCTGGATCCAAAGTGGAGCAGCTCAGACTCAAACTGGTACTGATATAGGATGCTGGCGCTACAGGCCATGACCCACTGCACCATAGCGCCGGCCCCAGTGCCCTGTTATTCACTGTAGCAAGTCCCCTTCTTTTACCTTAGCTTTTAATGAAATAGTTCAGATATACACAGTTGTTTTAGGTAAATCAAAAATATGTATGTGGGTGCTTCAACAAATTCATGGAAAGCACACATTTTATGTATGTATATATACACACCTACATATATATATATATTTTTTTTAAACTAGAAATTTTTGCAAAATGAAAGAAATAGAGAAAGCTCCTGTGCTGTCCCAAGGCCTGTAACAGCTGGACAACTGGGCCTGGACTGGGCTGGGGCTGGAACCAGGAGCTGGGAACTCCTTCCAGGGCTCCTGCGTGAGTGGTAGGGACCCAGCCACTTGAGCCGTCACCTGCTGCCTCCCAGAGTGTGCATTGGCAAGACATCGGACTCAGGAGCTTGAGATGGGAATAGAACTCCAGCATTGCACTGTGGGCCTCTGGGCCACTAGGCAGATCCCTACCCCTTTATCTATCGCTAACCAGTACAGAGTATTGAACATCTTGTATAAACGATAGGAAAATGTAAGTACTTTTCTCCAGCTTGCTTGTTCTGTGCGTTCAGGGTTTTTGAAATTTAACCACACTGATGACATGTAACTCGTGTTCACTGCCACGTTCTGTTCTATGGGTTGAGTATACCACAGTTTGTTTTCATACTGCCAGACGTATGGGTTCCTTTAAAGACTACCTGTGGTTCTGCAGCAGAGGCTCATGAGCAAGTCTGCCTTTGTGTTTGTGGAGAGTTCTTTCGAGTAAGTATTTGGGAGTGGAATTCGTAGAGAACGGATCTGCTCAGCACTGCCAGCTGCTCTCCAGAGTGGCTTTCCCTCTGTCACCCTCATGGTGCTGTACGGGAGTTCTTACCACTTTGTGTCCTTCCTGGTGTGTGTTGTTGTGCGACTCCGTCTGGTAGGTGTGAAGTGGTGCCTCCTGTGGTTCTAATGTTTAGGTCTTTCATTGGGGTAAGCGCCTTTACATGCCTGTTCAGTTTTCTTCTTTGTAGTTTGCTTGCTCTTCTATACTTTTTTTGGGTACTGATTCTTGAGAATTTCTTTATTTTTCTCTATTCTATTCTCTAGTTTTATAAAGCTTTTCAGTAAAGGACATTTCTAGGTGTGTACAAAAGTAGCCTCACACCGACAATCTCCGTGTGCTATCTCATGGCCAGCTCTCATCAGTGTGTTCAGTCTTGTTTCCTGATATCTTCCTCCCAGTTAGATTATTATTTTTCATGCTTTTGGTGTGGAAACTGTAAATTTGTAAAGAATAAAGAGAAAACAGTTTTACAACCACCTTTTAACCTGTCACCAGTTTCAACAATTATCAACATCAGCCAGTCTTGGCTGGCACCGCGGCTCACTAGGCTAATCCTCCACCTGTGGCACAGGCACCCCGGGTTCTAGTCCCGGTTGGGGCGCCGGTTCTGTCCCAGTTGCTCCTCTTCCAGTCCAGCTCTCTGTTGTGGCCCGGGAAGGCAGTGGAGGATGGCCCAAGTGCTTGGGCCCTGCACCCACATGGGAAACCAGGAGGAAGCACCTGGCTCCTAGTTTTGCATTGGTGCAGCGCGCCAGCCATAGTGGCCATCTGAGGGGTGAACCAACGGAAGGAAGACCTTTTTCTCTGTCTGTCTCTCTCACTAACTCTGCCTGTCAATAAATAAATAAATAAATAAATAAAATGTCTGCTGTGCCCTCTTGAGTAATAATTAATCTGGGAATAAAATTCCTAAATTGCTAAAAAAATCAGTCTTTTAACATCTATATTAATTTTTTAAAAAAAGATTTATAAAGGTAGAGTTACAGAGAGGCAGAGATAGAAGCAGAGAGAGAGAGAGAGAGAGCTCTTCCATCTGCTGATCCATTCCCCAAATGGCCGCAATGGCCAGAGCTGAGCCTGTCTGGAGCCAGGAGCCAGGAGCTTCTTCCGGGTCTCCCATGCAGGTACAGGAGCCCAAGCACTTGGAGTCATCTTCTAATGCTTTCCCAGGCAATAGCAGAGAGCTGGATTGAAAATGGAGCAACCAGGTCTCGAACTGGTGCCCATATGGGATGCTGGCACTGCAGGCAGTGGCTTTACCTGCTACACCACAGCACCGACCCCACATCTATACTGTTTTTCTTATTGAATTATTTTGAAGCAAATCCCTGACTTTAAATCACTTTACCTCTGCAGATTCCAGTAGGTAATTCTAAAAGGTAGAGCTTTTTAAAAAACGATATTAGCATTAACACAGTCAAAAAAAACCAACAGTGATTTAATAATACCATCAAATATTTAGCCAGTGTTCAAACTTCCCTGATTGTCAGTCTTATTTTACTGTTTGCACAGAAATCAATTTTTTTTAAAAAGATTTATTTATTTATTTGAAAGGCAGAGTTACAGGGAGGCAGAGGCAGAGAGAGAGGGAAAGGTGTCTTCCATCCTCTGGTTTACTCCCCAGACGGCCACAATGGCTGGAGCTGTGGTGATCTGAAGCCAGGAGCTTCTTCTGGGTCTCCCACGTGAGTGCAGGGGCCCAAGAACTTGGATTATTTACAGAAATCAATTTTAAAAATTATTTATTTTCATTTTGTTTGAAAGGCAGAGAGATCTTGCATTTGATGGTTCACTCTCCAAATGCCTACAACAGCCAGGGAAGGCCCAGGCCAAAGCCATGAGCTCCATCTGGATCTCCCATATGTATGGCAAGGACCCAAATCCTTGAGCCATCGCCTGCTGCCCTCCAGGGTGTGCATTAGCAGGAAGCGGAAATCTGAAGTGGAGCAGGACTTGAACCCAAGCATTTTTTTTTTTGACAGAGTGGACAGTGAGAGAGAGAGAAAGGTCTTCCTTTTGCCGTTGGTTCACCCTCCAATGGCCACTGCAGCCGGTGCACCACGCTGATTCGATGGCAGGAGCCAGGTACTTATCCTGGTCTCCCATGGGGTGCAGGGCCCAAGCACTTGGGCCATCCTCCACTGCACTCCCTGGCCACAGCAGAGAGCTGGCCTGGAAGAGGGGCAACCGGGAAAGAATCCGGCGCCCCGACCGGGACTAGAACCCGGTGTGCCGGCGCCGCAAGGCGGAGGATTAGCCTAGTGAGCTGCGGTGCTGGCCGTACCCAAGCATTCTGATATGGGATGTGTGCCTTCCAACTGCAATGCCAAATGCCTAACCCAGAAATCAGTTTTTTTTTTTTTGAAGTTTGTTTATTTAAAGGGCAGCGTTACACAGAGGGAAAGACACAGAGATTGATCTTCCAGCCTGCTGGTTTCCTCCTCAGATGGCTGCAGTGAAGCCAGGAACCAGGAGCTTCATTCGTGTCTCCCACATGGGTGGCAGGGCCCAAACATTTGGACCAGCCTCTGCTGCTTTTCCTGGGCATTAGCAGGGAGCTGGGCTGGGAGTGGAGCAGCCGGGACATGCACTGGCGCCCATTTGGGATGCTTTTGTCGCAGGTGGCAGCTTTATGTACTAGGGTGCAACACCAGTTCCAAAGTTGATTTAAATGGAGTTGAATTGATCAAAATTTGTGTTTTCGAGTTTATTTTACTTCAGAGTCTAAGGACCCCTTTAATTTGCCTCTAACTCAGGTCCACCTCAGACCTGATCGCCCGCGCTTCCTCCCGGGAGTTCTCCCGTGTCCCCCTCTCCCCCAAGGTCAGACCAGTAGCTGGCCTGTGTTCCTCGTGTGGTTTCTTGGCCAGCTTTCTGCAGTTTTCTTGTAGCTTTGCTCCCCTTTGCCGCCTAGATAAGTCTTGCCCGTACCCCCAGAGTGCCGCCTGCTCTGAGGCTTCCAGCGACCACTGTGCCCCATACGTAGCCCCCCCTTCCTTGGCCGCCTTTCACATGGTCGCCAACGTGACAGCAGATTGTTTTGGTTTGTTTTCTGTGTGTAGCTGGCTTTATGCCCCAGCCAGCGCATCGTGGTAGGCATGGACTGTGTCTGCTGCTCTCCTGACACGTTGTACCCTCTGGCATGCTGTTTGGTAGCTGTCTAACGACGTCACCCCGTCAGGTGGAAAGTAGTGAAGGCACACCACGTTCAGGCCACTCTGTGCGTTTGGTATTTTCCTTTCCTGAAAGTCAGTTGAGCAATTGGAAACTTGGATGCCGGAGATGTGAATTTGACCAGAGTGATGATTAAATTGCACACTTGTTATCTGGTTGGATGCCATGATAGTGGACAGCTGTGATGACTCAGCCGTTCTTGTGATTGAAGAAGTTGCTGTCTAGGTTGGAAGTTGAAGATTTTCGAGTAGTGCTTATCAGTCAGGGTTGGGAAGTCTGTGCTCCTCACGGGAAGGAGGTCTGGAGGTAGACAGTCCAAGGCGGCTTCCTGGTGTGCTCTAGCACCCGGGGGTCTCTTTTCCGACTCTGCCACGCTTAGCACTGTCTTCAGATTACTTCACGGTCCAAAGTGGCTTCTGGAGTTCCGGACAGAAAGAAGGAACAGCAGGTGTAGATGAAGGAGTACATCTTCCTTCTCGTAAGGAAACGTCACCAAAGTCCTACACATTCTCATATACCTCTGGCCAGAATTGGTCATGTGGCTGTATCTAACTGCGAGAAGACTGGGGAGTTAATGTTTTGGCTCAGCACCAAGGTGCTCTTGCAGGGTTGGGGTTTTATTTCTAAGGAGGAAGGGGAAATGGCTATCTAGCAGCAACTAACCATTTCTTTAAAAGTTACTGAGTATTTATTTGGAAGGCAGTGCAAGAGGGGGAAAGACAGAAAAAAAGAACTCTTCCCTCCTCTGGTTCACTCCCCAATGTGGCCAGGGCTGGACCAGGCCAAAGTCAGGAGCTTGGAACTCCGTCCGGTCTCCCATGTGGGAGCAGGGGTCCAAACACTGGGACTGTCTTACAGTGCTTTCCCAGGCTGTTGGCGGGGGGCTGGAACCCAGTGGAACATCCTGGACCAGAACTGGTGCTCATATGGGATGCCGTTCCTGCAGGCAGTGCCTTAACCTGCTGTGCCACAGTGCTGGCGCCTGCAAGCAGCCATTTCTGTCATGAGCTTTGAAACCATTGTTCAACCAAAATGTTAGTGGAGGAGCAGTTCCTACCACAGAGGAGCCGCGTGCACGAGCCGATGGTGCAGCCGTCTGCAGCTCTGGCACTGCCTGGGCTCCAGGGCTCCAGGGCTGTGCCCACAGCTTGCCCAGCCCAGCTCTGCTGTCTCCTTCAGCTCTCCGTGGCCACCCCGAGATGCACCCGAGGAGCAGGGTTTGACTTGGACTTTAGATTGCACTGCACGTCTCTCCAGCTGACTTTCCCGGGCCCTTGCTTAGAGTCACGATGCAGCCTGCCCACTCCTTCCTGCCCAGGCCCCGAGGGGTCCATGCGGCATTATGGGTTTTAACATCCGGCGTGTTTTCCTGGGAGGTGAGTTCCCACATGACCTTCAGGAGGCCTGGCTGTCTTTTCTCTTGCAGGTTTAATAGACTACAACTTCCACTGTTTCCGGAAAGCTATCCACGAGGTGTTCGAGGTGGGCGTGGCTTCTCACCGGAGCTGCGGTCACCTGGCCAGCACCCCCAGCCTGAAAGCGCTGACGCACAACGGCACGCCGCGCACCGCCATCTAGTCTGCCGCTGTGGCCGCCGCCTCCGTGCGCCGGGGCCAGGAGCTGCCGCCTTGGGGTGGCCGGAATCGGGTGCCTGGCCCCTAGAGACACAGGGTCGAGTTGCTCACTCGGGGGAAGCCCCTGCAGGCCGCGGTGCACAGCCGAAGTGCCGGTCTGCTCTGGACAGCCTGCCCCCGGGCCCTCGGGAGACCGCGGAACTCTGTGTGGCTTTCTCCTGGCTCGGCCCTCCTGCAAGTACGGGGACCTTTGGACCTGGAGGCGTCCCCATCCTTACCAGGGAGTGTTGCCATTGATTCCAGTCAAAAGTAATAGCAAAGACCGGATTTTTATACGCTTCACGTAGGCTTTCGTTTGAGTAGTCTCTCAAAATTCTGCCTCGCTTAAGTTCTAACACTGCCGCTCCGATTTGAATCTTGGACATTGCACATTTCACACCTTTGCGGTGCACTGGTGCACTGGCTCCTAACCCGGAAGACAGCGACTCTGCGGAGGGCGGCGTGTCTGCGTCTCTTCCTGGAGGCTCGAGCCGGGAGAGGAGATGCGCGCCCGTGTGGGGGCACCGGATGCCTGGGTTCTCTCTCCTGTGTTCATAACGATCATGCTCAGTGTCATGAAGGGATTTGAGACGAATTTGTTTTCCCTAGAATCCGCTTCCAGGGGAGGCACTCATGTCACTGAACTATTTAGCTCCCTTTTCTTTAACCTCCGGATCAGCCTCTGCATCACTTCTCCGCTCTCGGGAGTCTCTAAGAAGTGCTGTTCGGTGACCGCGAGTGACCCCCAGGCACTGGCGGGCTGTGCCCTGGGAGCCGGCGTGAGCACGTGGGGCCGCACCGTGTGCTGCCTGGCGTGCCGCGGCTCCCGTGGTACTCTCTCTGCCTGGGGTGTTAACTCGTAATCGCATACTTTGTGTTGATGGGTGATGCCCTTCCCGCTGATGTCAACTCACACATTATTTTTGCTCCACATGCCCAATAGTCATGCGTTCCAAAGCCACTGGACCAGCTGAGTACATAAGTGCCACTCTGAACGGCTTCGTGTGTCCCGGCGGGGAGCCTGCGCTGAGACTCGCAGTGCCCTGCAGCCGGCGCTGACCGTCGAGTATTTACGTGGACCACGGTGATAGCCAAGAGAAAAGTGCTTTTATATTTATAGATGATTTCATTGAGCTATATATAAAATGGGTATCAATAAATGTATTTACTCCAAGATCGGTCTTCCTCCTGGCCCCGGGTGGGGCCGCCCTGGGCCGGGCTGTCTCTGCTGCCTCACAGCCAGTTCGTCCTCATGGGGGATTCTGTGGCCTTGTGGCCAGGCGAGACGTGTGTGTGTTGGCATAGGCAGGTGCCACCTGGGGCGCCCGCCCAGGGCCTGGCGCCAGGGCTGCCGTGTGTTGCCTGAGGAGGGTAGACACTGCCGGCTGACTCCGGCTTGTTTGGTTTCTTCCAGTTCCTGAGATGCTCGTCGTTGACCCGCAGGGGCCTAAGCTGGGGGAAAGGGAGGAGGTGGAGATGGGGGAGGAGTGTGAAGTTCACGGTCGGACTGCGCCAGAGGTCAGTTGTAGGACAGACGTGATGGAAACAGTTGGAGAAAACCCTTAGCAGTGCTCCTCAGCCAGTGGCTGCTGCCATGCGGTAGGTCCTGGGGAGAGTGCAGCTGAGCTGTGGGTGAGCTGGCCAGACGGCAAACTCAGACCGGGGCACTGTTCGGGGTGAGGCCTGGGGACCGGTCCTGCGGCCTGCACCTTCCCCTGGTCGCAGGTGGGGTTGGTGGCAAGGTGGGGCCCGTGCTTCGTGCAGCCCAGGCTCCTGTGGTGCCGTGAAGACAAGACTTCAAGATGTCCACGGCCCATACAGCCAGGGAGTGGGTAAGGAGGAAAAGTGATACACGGTGGGATAGTGATAACAGTGAAGGTGAGAGTGGACAGCGTGGGAGGAGTGAAGTGGAGAAGTGAAAGTATTAAAACTTTGCCTGAAATATTTGCGTCCACTGGTGGTTTGTGAAACCTGAGTGTCTCGTGGCGGGTGGGCCTGTGACCTCACAAGCCAGCACTCTCCCTCTCACGGACAGTCATGCATGCATGTGAGAGAGCTCTTAGAACGGCCGTGGAAAAAACGCATATTATGAAACTGCATGGATTCCAAACATTTTTTAGACCAAAGTAAACTCAACTTCAGCCTGGCCCAGCCCCTGCCGTTGGGGCCATCTGGGGAGTGAACCAGCAGACAGAAGGCCTCTCTCTCCCTCTCGAACTTCCCCTTTCTAATAAATCAATCTTGAACTCTTGTAATTCCATTTTTCACAAACTATTTGAAGTACTGTATACACATGGAGATGCACACACAAACGTGTACAATGGTGCCCCAGAGAGGTTGTTGGCGGTATTTGTGAGTTGTATTAATTTACCTTCTGTGTGTTGAGTTCTGTGCTTGTACAAGAAGTGACATAAATGATAAAATGACGGTCATTCTGCGTTGTGTTGGGGAAAGCGCCGTGTGTGCTTTGTGGGCTTCGCAAGGTTCTGTGGGTCCATTTTTGTTTTGCAAATTCTGGGAGCTTTTCCAGTGGTGCAGCAGAGATTGTTCAAGACTGAGAGGCCCCGGGAGCCCGGGAGGAGCAGTCTCCAGAGAGAATGGGGACTGTGCTTGGGCACAGCTGGAGCCAGTATCGTGAAACTAGCTCCCCTTAGCCACGCGATTTAGGAACTCTGGTGGTAAGTAGCATCCAAGGACAGGAAGGCACAGCAACTGTGATCGATGGCTTCAGGTTTCCACGCGTTACCTCCCGTGCTCTCCGCCTTGTGAGGGAGTCACCGTGTACCCGTTTCACAGGTGGGAAAGCTGAGGCACAGAGGCATGCCTGGGGACTTAATTCCTGAGACTGCGTCCTCAGTCCGTCACATGACTCTGCTTCCCCTGCAGGTGGAGGGGGTTTGCTCTTGGGGTGTTTTGCAGAAAAAGGATTCTACAGCTAAGTTTTCTGAATGTGCATTCTGTCGTCTCCTTGTGGAGATTTTCTGTGTACAGTCAATATTAAAGGCTCTGAGAAGAACTGCTTTAAACTTGGTTTGTATCCCACGTTCTGAAGGCTTTTGACGCTTCAAGAAATGCCCATTGAAGCAGCATGCCATAGCCACTGGACACAGTTGTGTTGGGTGGAATTGGAAGTGTGTTACACTATGTTCCGAGTCTTACTGCATGCTTCAGTCCGTGATTTCTTAGTTGCCTAGTTTAGCAGCTGCCTTTGGAGGTAGCGTTAGGAGAGGCGTGTTTGGCTACCATGTAGCATTCCCTCAGTTGTGGCCATTTCAACTGCCTGTGATCCCGGCTTTGTCGTGAAGGCAGTTGGCGCTGGCAGGTGCAGTAAGCTACTTGTCCGCCTGCTGGCTGTGGCGGCCCAGTCCTTGGCCGCTAGGTGGCGGTGTTGGATTACTTAAACACAGCTGCCAGCTTTCTGGCTTCGGATTTGCTCTGTACTGAAAGTTTATGTTGTCTGATTTACCCAAGGGCATGTCCAACTCTGAGAGAGCCAAAGAATTCCTGAAGTCCTCCCCGCCCCCCGAATAATATGCAGGACTGATGTGAGACGTTTTATTGGAAGTGCAGCAGTCTGTGAGTGGCTAGGACCAAGGTCATGGCATCCTGCTGTATGAATTACAAAGCAGCCTGCAGGACACAGCTGTACCCCTGTTCCGGGGCCAGGCAGAACCTGCTGCAGATGTGTGTGCTCTTAAATATGCCCCGAGAAGGAGATGCCACATATTTGAATTGAAATATCTGCTTTCGTGCCCCTCCCTCTTTGCTTCGCCCTAGGTGAGATTTATTAAAATCACCTCACACGTGGGCTTGAGAGAGCAAGGGCTGCAGCACAGTATCTTCGTACGGGCACTTGTTTCTCTTTCTGTTAGAGCCATAGGATTTCTCCATAATCCCTAGCTGTGACTGTGTTCTGAGAAGACAGATTTCAATGAAAGAAGAACTAGATACCCCAGTGCAACTTCAGACCTCTTTAAAAAATGCAACTGAGAGGGGCCAGTGTTATGACGCAGGAGGTAAAGCCACCACCTGAGATGCCAGCATCCTATATGGGCGCGGGTTCGGGTCCCGACTGCTCCACTTCCCATCCAGCTCCCTGCTGATGCACCTGGGAAAGCAGCAGAATGTGGCTGGAGTACTTAGGCCCCTGTCACCCCCGTGGGAGACCTGGATGGAGTTCTTGATCGCTGGCCTCAACCTGGCTCAGCCCCAGCTGTTGTGGCCATTTGGGAAGTGAACCAGGGGACAGAAGATTGATCTCTCTTTCTCTCTCCACCCTTCCCCCACCCCGCCCCCATCTCTCTCACACTCTCCTGTAACTCTGCCTTTCAAATAAATGAATCTTAAGAAAATATGTATGTCACTGAATTGCAAGGGACAGTTGAAATGAGGAACTGAATGGCAGGAAGCCAGCCCCTCCCCCAACTCCACAGTGCCCATGACAGCCACACGCTACCTCACAGGGCTGTAACTTCCACTTGACGGTTCTGGCACTTGACAAAGCATCCTTGGAGCGGAAGTGACCAAATACCAGAAGGCGTGTGGGAAATGCCCCGGGTGGTTTATTGCAACATAACCTGCAGGACACACAGAAGAGTGGGCTACACAGATGCAATGGTACTCTTCTTCCATGTCCTCCTTGCTTTTCTTTATGGCAGAGGCAGAGAGAGAGAGGTCTTCCATTCTCTGGTTCACTCCCTAAATGGCCGCAACAGCTGGAACTGGGCTGATCCAAAGCCAGGAGTAGGAGCTTCTTCCAGGTCTCCCACATGGGTGCAGGGGCCCAAGCACCTGGGCCATCTTCCACTGCTTTCCCAGGCCACAGCAGAGAGCTGGATTGGAAGTAGAGTAGCTGGGTCTCGAACTGGCGTCCATATGCTTTTCTTTTTTCTTTTTCTTTTCTTTTCTTTTTTTTTTTTTGACAGGCAGAGTGGACAGTGAGAGAGAGAGACAGAGAGAAAGGTCTTCCTTTGCCGTTGGTTCACCCTCCAATGGCCGCCGCGGCCAGCGCACTGCGGCCGGCGCACCACGCTGATCCGATGGCAGGAGCCAGGTACTTCTCCTGGTCTCCCATGGGGTGCAGAGCCCAAGCACTTGGACCATCCTCCACTGCACTTCCCTGGCCACAGCAGAGAGCTGGCCTGGAAGAGGGGCAACCGGGACTAGAACCCAGTGTGCCGGCGCCACAAGGCGGAGGATTAGCCTAGTGAGCCGCGGCGCTGGCCTTATATGCTTTTCTTTAAGATAAAGATGCTGTGCACACATTGTTGGTGTAGTGTCACTGTCTTCCTCTCTTCCCATGTCCCTGCTCCTGTCTCTGTTCCATCTGGCATACAGCTTTTGTATGCTGGGTAGTGAGTCACCTGAGAAGGGAGTGATCGTTGGTTTGAGCAGACAGGGCCCCTGGCATGCTGAGATGAGGTGTGGAATTCTCCCTATGGGAGCTCCATCCCAGAAAAGGGCCCTGGCCGTGCAGCTCTGGTGGAGGCGCTGAGATGCATGCCTATAGCTCCAGGAGCCGCTTCTCTGGCACCTGTCTTGACCTTGGAAATGAAGCTGTTGGCCGTCCCTGTGTGTGGAAGTTGCTCTTCTGCTACACCGTGGCTCTTCTCGGGAGATATGCAAGATTGGGGCCAGGGGCCAGTGCTGTGACGTAGCAGGTTAAGGTGCCACCTGCGGCGCTGGCCTCCCATATGGGCACCGGTTTGAGTTCCAGCTGCTCCACTTCCGATCTAGCACCCTGTTAATGTGCCTGGAGTATGTGGGCCCCTGCACCCACATGAGAGACCTGGAAGAAGCTCCTGGTTCCAGGCTTCAGTCTGGCCCAACCCTGGCCATTGCAGCATTTGGGGAGTGAACCAGCAAATGGAAGATTCTCTCTCTCTCTCTCTCTTTCTCTATCTCTCTCTGCTTTCCAAATAAAATAAATCTTTAAAGAAAAACCAATCTGGGACTGGCACTGTGGTGTAGTAGGCTAAGCTTCTGCCTGCGGCACTGGTATCCTATATGGGCACTAGTTCATGTCCCAGCTGTTCTTCTTCTCATCCAGCTCTCTGCTATGGCCTGGGAAAGCAGTAGAAGATGACCCAAGTCCTTGGGCCCTTGCACCCACATGGGAGATCTGGAGGAAGCTCCTGGCTCCTGGCTTTGGGTCAGCGCAGCTTTAGCTGTTATGGCCATTTGGGGAGTGAACCAACAGATGGAAGACCTCTCTCTCTGTCTCTCTAACACTGCCTCTCAAATAAATAAATAAATACTTTTTTTTTTTATTTTTTTAAAGTGAGGCCCTTTGGCCGGTGCCATGGCTCACTAGGCTAATCCTCTGCCTGCGGTGCCAGTACCCCGGGTTCTAGTCCCAGTTGGGGCACTGGATTCTGTCCCGGTTGCTCCTCTTCTAGTCCAGATCTCTGCTGTGGCCCAGGAAGGCAGTGGAGGATGGCCCAAGTGCTTGGGCCCCTGCACCCACATGGGAGACCAGGAGGATGCACTTGGCTCCTGGCTTCAGATGGGTGTAGCGCGCCAGCCGTAGCGGCCATTTTGGGGGTGAACCAATGAAAGGAAGACCTTTCTCTCTGTCTCTCATTCACTGTCTAACTCTGCCTGTCAAAAAAATATAAAAAAAACTTAAAAAAAAGAGGCCCCATTTCCTCTACATGACCCCTGTAATAGTCTATGGATGAGATGGATTCATTGAGAAAGGCAGAAGCAATGAAGGAACTCATCTGGAGGCCAGGAGTTACAGGGTCTCAGTGGAAATGTTCTCTGTACTACTAGAGCAGTGAGGCTGGGGGCTGATGGTGTGGGGTGGCAGCCTGGGCTCCCACACTGAGTGCTGCTACAAGTCCTGTGGCTCGGCTTCCAAGCCAGCTCCCTGCTAATGCACCCGAGAAAGTGGCAGATGAGGGCCCACATACTTGAGTGCCTGCCACCCACATGGGAGACCCAGATGGAGTTCTAGGCTACTGTCTTTGGCCTGGAATAGCCCTGGCCATTGCAGTCATTTGGGGGAATGAACCAGCAGATGAAAGGTCTCCGTCTCTTTTTGTCTCTGTGTAACTCTGCCTTTCAAATAAATAAATCTTAAAAAAAGAGTGACGAGGCTGGATGGAAGGGAGGAAGGTGGAACTGGGGCTGCAGCTACTGGGCAGTGTGGGCAGAGCTGGGCCTTAGGGGAGCCGTGATCAGTCAGAGAGAGGAAGAGGCTCAGAGACAAGTTAGAATGATTTTTTTTTAAAGACCTATTTATTTATTTGAAAAGCAGAGAGAGAGAGAGAGAGAGCGAGAGAGCGAGCGAGCTTCCATTGCTGGTTCTGGTTCAATCCCCAGATTACCGCAACCGTGGGAACTGCACTGGTCCGAAGTCAGGAGCAGGAGCCAGGAGCTTCTTCTGGGTCTCCCACATGGGTGCAGAGGCCCAAGGACTTGGGCCAACTTCCACTGCTTTCCCAGGCCATAGCAGGGAGCTGGAATGGAAGTGGAGCAGCCAGGACTCGATCCGGATGCCGGCAGTGCAGGCGGCGGCTTTACCCACTACAGCACAGCGCTGGCCCCAGCACCTGTGATTCTTGTAGTGAGAGGAAGCCAGGGGGAGAGGGAGGAATGCTCGCTCCTGGAAGGGCACACAGACCTGAACGACAAGGACTTGATTTTGCCTGTGAATACTGGTGACCTTGAAAGACCTTCAAACTGGAGGTCAGGGCCCACTTCCTGCCCCAGTCAGGCATCGACTTCCCTCTTTGTGTCATCAGCGAGGTCCGTAGGATCCAAGGTAATGGTTGGAAAAGCGCTTCTTTAACTGATGTTGTTTTTCATTTCACTCCAGACTGGACTTTTGCCATGTTATCTCAATTCTTATCGAAGTCTCTTAGATTCTTCTTTTAAAAAAAAAATTCTAGGTTAGCCTATCATGATAATAGCACTGTTAGCAGCGACATCAGTGTCTTAATATTTGGTTCCAAGTTGCCAACCATTGTGTTGGGTGCTCTAAGGCTTGTGCCTTCTCATCGGATCCACCTA